CAATCTGGCGTCGACGTACAGGAATCAAGGCCGATGGAAGGAGGCGGAGGAGCTATTTGTGCGAGTAATGGAGACGAGAAAGACGGTGCTTGGCGAGGAGTATCCAGACTCGCTGACCAGCATGGCTAATCTGGCCTGGACGTACAGGAATCAAGGCCGATGGAAGGAGGCGGAGGAGCTATTTGTGCGAGTGATGGCGACGAGAAAAAGCGTGCTTGGCGAGGAGCATCCACACACGCTGAGCAGCATGGCCAATCTGGCGTTGACGATTTGGAATCAAGGCCGATGGAAGGAGGCGGAGGAACTATTTGTGCGAGTGATGGAGACGAGCTTGAGGGTGCTTGGCAAGGAGCATCCACACACGCTTACCAGCATGGCCAATCTGGCGTCGACGTTTTGGAATCATGGCCAATGGAAGGAGGCGGAGGAGCCATCTGTGCGAGTGATGGAGACGAGAAAGAGGGTGCTTGGCGAGGAGCATCCAGACACGCTCACAAGCATGAACAATCTTGACTTTACGTAGAAAAGACCTGTTCAACGTGTGGAAGCCTTTCTCCTTACGGATACAAGTTTGCAATCACAAATGCGTGTTCTCAGTCCTGACCATCCTCATACATTCTCGTCCCGAGAGGTCCTAGCTGATTCGATACTAGGCAGACTCGAGATGAATTCTATGTATGAGCAGTTGCTAGCTTATAGGTGGTTAAGCAGAAAGCCATATGGGTGATCATTTTTCTTAAAAGTGATCATAATGATTGTTTAAGAAGTTTGAACCAATCAGCCCAGATCTATTTGAAGTTAATCGGTACAGCATCTGAGCTTACTCCGTACCTGATGACTGTAGTTGAACTGTCTGCGTGGTATAACCAGTTTGTTAGTGCAATTTCTTCGTACTCCGATGCACTTCATCTTAGTATGTAAACCATGTTGTCATCCTTGTTGTCATCCTTGTTCGCATCCTCTATCCACGAACATCTTGAAAATCCCCACCTCTTCCCTCGCTCTAGTCAGCTCAACACTTCTGAAGCGAGCTTGCGTCGGCACTGCTTGTCGAGTCGGGAACAGGTCCCTAAACAACGGGATAGCTTGACGGGCAGTGAACCTCGACTGTCTCTGCGACATTAGTCCGATCCCCCCACCCGCCCCCCCTGGCCAGGCCGGGCATGGACACGACTATCTCATCTACTTGCACCAGACGTGTCGGCCATGTACGTTTTCGATCGTCCCGACAGCCACGCCAGTCTTACCGGCTTGACTTTGCGTGGTAATTCAGCAGGCACAGTCCGTCCTGACGAAACAAGAGCTTGTTGGCAGCGCCTCGCCAAAAAAAAGGAAAATAAAAAAGAAGGGGGGGAAGGGGGTTTTCAAGGCCCTGGGATCCTCGAACGTGAGCCTCGTCGTGCGAAGGGCAGCCGCGGAGCTGCCGGGCGACGGCGGAGCGAGCGTGCGCGGAAGAGACTCTCCTCAGCGGCCTCGGGCTCGGGTCGTGCGAGCCACACAGGCAGCGATGGATGTTCCTTTGTGGCCTTCGACCCCCCCCCCCCCACGGAAAAGGTGGATTGGACGGGGATGGAGTTTGGAGGGGGGCACAGGCGTGGACGGGAGCAGAGCGGAGAGGAAGACGGAGCGGGTTGAGGCGTGGGTGTGAAGGAGGGGCGATTGCGCCGTTGACGGTTGCACTGTGTGACCATCGGATGTGAACAGGATGTGGTGTGAGAAAGAGAAAGCGAGCCAGGGAGCCCGGGAGCAAGGCCGAGCGGGTTTCGGTTTGGATGAGTCGCGAACGCATGTGAGCTGCTCAATCCAACTTGGAGATTTCCGTAGCGCTGGGGTCTGAGCATGAGAAGGAAGAGATGAGGAAGGAAAACAATGGCGGCTACGCCGGATCAGGTGAGAAAGAAAGTGTCTCGATTGACAGCCTTCACTTCGTATATCCACGACAGCGGCCAGCAGCCAGCATTAATAGCTACGGGGCCCTGCAGAGCATCACTACAAATACAACACATAAACCTAGTTGAGGCTCAACACCACGCGCACGCTATGCATTGCAGGGTTAAAAAAAAAAAGGGGGGGGGGGGGGGGGATGGGGGGCGGAGGAACTATGCAACACTGCAGCAGCATTGGCAAGAGACAGCTCCACGCAAACGCCGACAAAGCCCTGTAACAAATCATTACAACAAGAAGTATCGGCAAATTACAAAAATATGCCTCAAGAAGTGTGACCACCCCCAGCCACAAGATCTCCTGCCAGTACGCCGCCCCGTAGTCCTGCGTATTCATACACGCCGTCCAAAAGAGTTTGAAATTTGAAATCTGAGGAAAATAACCGGGGAAAATTAATGCGTCTAACCGGTTTCGTCCGCCTGTGCCTTGACTTCTGGACTCGGCGGTGTGACAATGATGGTGTCATCGTCTATGTCCACGTCTTTCGTTTTGTTCGGTCGAGGGGTCTCCCCGCCTTCGTCTTCTTCCTCCTCGGGTATGACGTTTTTGTCTTTCTCGTTGTTTTCCATGCTCTCCACGCTCTCGCTGATGGCTGAATCGCGGATGTGGTTCTCCAAGCTCGCTTCCGACGCAGACATTGCCAATTGCCTTCTCCTACGCCTCTGCGCTCGCTCGTCTGAAGCATTCTCTTTCCGCCGGCGGCTCATGCGAATGCTTTCCCTCGGTGCCGGGATCTTATCATCGTCTCCGCCGCCTAGACCTTCCAACAATTTTTCGGCCTGCGTGCCGAGATCCTCGTCGTCATTGATCTCCGTCAAGCCGGGGCTCAAAAGAGGTCTGTCGCCATCTGCGGAGCTACCCGCCTCGCTCTTTACAGGACTCAACAGCCCATTCTCGGCCTTGGCGTCGTTGACCAACTCCGACATGTCCGGCATCTTCTGACCAGAGGCCACCCGCACGGCATGACGATCCTTGAGACGCGCACGCCTTCTACGTTCGCGCTGGTCTCGTGCCTCGGGCTTTGCAGCGCGAAGTTTGGCAAGTAAGGAGTCCATGTCGCCGGTCGTGCTAGGACTCTGTGGTGCACTTCCACCATCCGATAGCGCCGTAGGGGAAGTAAGACCGGCCTTCCGCTTCATGCTCGCCTCGTTGCGGCGCCTCGTTTCGTCTCGTTCGATGTTCTTCTCGCGCGATTTCTGTGGCCACCTGATCAGCAAATCCACCGTCGAGTTGAACGCCTGTTTTTTTTTTTTTTTTTTTTTTTTTTTTTTTTT